AAGTATATTGTGGGATTCATAACTCACATAGATATAGTACTTATGGCATCTATAACATAAAGGACACATTAAGGGGAGAAACGGGTATATAAGGTTGTATATTTCAGGTGAAGTACAACATTATTAACTCTAAGTAAATTGTGAAAAGTTAAAGAAATATACAGTTGACCTTCAGTATCCTTAGGGGATTGGTTCCAGGAGCCCCCCACCCAACCAAAATCCATGGATGCGCAAGTCCCTTATATAAAATGGCACAGTATTTGCTTATAACCTAAGTACATCCTCTTATATATTTTAAATCTAGATTACTTGTAATACCTAATACAATGTAAACACTATGTACATAGTTATTATGCTTTGTTTTTTTTCACTGTTGTATTATTTGGTGCTTTTCTTGTTGTTTTTGAGACAGGGTCTCACTCTGTTGCCCAGCCTAGAGTGCAGTGCTGTCATCATAGCTCACTGCAGACACCTGGGTTCAAGTGATCCTCCAACCGAGTAGCTGGGAATACAGGTGCACATCATCAAACCTGGCTAATTTTTCTACTCTTTGTAGATATAGGGTCTTGCTCTTACTCATGCTGGTCTCAAATTCCTGACCTCAAGCAATTCTCCTGCCTCGGCCTCCCAACATGCTAGGATTACAGGTGTGAGCCACTGCACCTGGCCATATTTTTATTTTTTATTGGTCTTCTTTCTAATATTTTCTTTTTTCTTTTTTTTTTTTGAGACAGAGCCTCACTCTGTTGCCTGGGTTAGAGTGCCATGGCATCAGCCTAGTTCACAGCAACCTCAAACTCCTGGGCTCGAGCAATCCTTCTGCCTCAGCCTCCCAAGTAGCTGGGACTACAGGCATGCGCCACCATGCCCGGCTAATTTTTTATATATATTTTTTTAGTTGTCCAGCTAATTTCTTTCTATTTTTTTAGGAGAGATGGGGGTCTCGCTCTTGCTCAGGCCGGTCTCGAACTCCTGAGCTCAAACGATCCACCTGCCTCAGCCTCCCAGAGTGCTAGGATTACAGGTGTAACCACCACGCCCGGCTCTTTCTAATATTTTCAATCTTCAGTTGAATCCAAGGATGCAGAACCCATGGATATGGAGCATCGACTGTATTGTAATCACTAGAGCAACCACACACACACAAAAAGAGTAATAATGCAAAGAGGTCCAGTAAAAAGCCAAGAGCTAAATAAAAATGGAATTCTAAAACATATTTAATTAACTCAAAAGAAGGTAGGACAGAAAAGAGAAACAAAAAAGAGAGGAAAAATAAAAAATAATATACTAAAATGGTAGCTTTAAATACAACCAAAACCCTTCCACCAGCCCATGAGGCTCTGCCTGGGTCTGCCAGGGTCTCTCACCAGCTTCACTTCACACCACTCTCTACACCCCACTGCTTTCTTCCTCAAGTCATCCACACCCTTTCCTAGCACCTCTCCATCTTCAGAGCCAGACTTTTGCCTGGTCAACTCCTTTTCTTTTTCTTCTTTTTTTATAGAGACAGGTTCTCAGATGTTGCCCAGTCTGGACTCGAACTACTGGGTTTAAGCAATCCTCCCACCTCAGCCTCCCAAGTAGCTGGGACTACCAGTGTGCACCACTGTACGTGGCTTGGTTAACTACTTTCCCTGCTTAAGGTCCTGGCTTAAATAGCAGTTCCTCTCAGAAGTCTCCCTTGGTTACCCCCAGAAAAGGAGGCTAAGATGAATCCGGTGTGCTCACTTCATTTCCTGCTCTTCTCAGTGTTAGGTCAGAGCCAAGAGGGACACACTCGAAGCCCAAAGTGTAGTAAAATGCTGTTTATTTGAACATCTGGGTGCAGATGGGTGGAGGCCAAAAAGAGCATCCACGCCAGGAAGCGGAGTGCCTTGGGTTTCATAGGAGGTTTGGATGGAAGTTTGGGGAGGGTGAATTTCTTTCTGAACAGTAACCGGTTCCTGCCAGCATCACCGCAATTGTCTGTGGTCAGAGTCAGATTTACAAACCTCTGGACTCTCCAGACTCCTGTGGCTATTGTTTCACGGGCCTTATGATCACTATCTATATTTTCCATTAACTGCTTTCCATCCTATACATACTTTCCAGGTTCCCACCCTGAGCAGGCCTAACACTCAGTACTTCAGCTACTAACTCATTTCTGTTTTCTTTGCTGAATTATAATCCTGAAGGGCAGGGTCATACCTGTTTCTTTGGCTGCTCTAATCCTAGAACTCAATTAATATACACGTAATAAAAATAAATAAAGTCTGGTGCTCACTTCAGCAGCACATATACTAAAATTGGAACAATACAGAGAAGATTAGCATGGCCCCTACGCAAAGATGACATGCAAATCCGTGAAGTGTTCTATACTTTAACAAAAAAAATTAAAAAAAATAAAGTCTGGTTTGAGGTTCTGGAACTCATCTTTTGGACTCTAAAATTTGTATACCCTGTGATAACTGGTTTTCTGAACAGGCTGAACTGAACGGGACACCATCAGGAAAACGCTTTGCCCTCATTGTGCTCTCAGACTCTGTTGCTGGGCTCCTCCTTCTCCTCTCCTTGCTAGGCATCTCAGGCAGATTCCATTGTTTTTCAGTCACTTTAAATTGTGCAGTCAATTTAAAGTGAAATCAAAACCTCAATCTTTCATCAATTCCAATTTCTCCCCTCCTCCACATGTCAGGACCTAGCAACGCTCTGCTAACTCTCCTCCTTGCTCCTCCATTCTTCCTCTGATCTCAAGGCTATTTGTGGCAACTCCAGAGCTCAGGCAAGGGGGAGAACAAATAAGACAAAAGGGGGCAATAACCTTCATATTGAACTGATGCCCTCTGTGGCTTTTGGCTTCATGCTAATTCCTGCTGTTTTGTGGAAATTACTAGTGGGTCCTTCATGTACCTCCAGCACACTGCACAGCACCCTGATGTAGGTGTGTGCCCTCTTCTGTTGACTTCTTGCTTACCCCTCAGCTCCTGTCCTTCAGGGCTACACCTCCAGCCTCTCTGTTGGGATTCTTCCCTTAGATGGCTCAGCTACCCTCTGTGGGTCCCCTCAATTGATAGAAGTGTGGCTAATCCAACTGCTAGTCTCCTATGCTCACCCAGCCATCAAGGACTGCTCCAAGTAGGAGGATGGCAGTCATCCTGACCCCTAAAGTCCAGGTAACATTCCAAGTTCTCTGCCTGTCACCTTGGTGGCAGTTAGAGTAGGCTGACATATTTTGACTGTTCAGCAGGCTGGGACTCAGGGTCTCATCTCTCCTGCTTAGAAGTACCACAATTCTGTGAGGTTTGTCTGAAAGGACATTTGCTTGGCTTTAGGCTGGGAAGGAAGGAAAAATCCACAGCATTTTAATCCTGTGAATGCCTTTTACTTATTTATTTCTTTAGAGAAAGGGTCTCACTCTGTCACCCAGGCTAGAGGACAGTGGCGTGATGACAGCTCTCACTGTAACCTCAAACTCCTCAATTCAAGTGATCCTCCCACCTCAGCCTCTGGAGTAGCTGAGATTACAGGTGCATGCCACCATGGCCAGCTAAGTTTTTTACTTTTTTATTTTTTATAAATACGAGGTCTCACTATACTGCCAGGCTTGTCTTGAACTCCTGGCCTCAAGTGATCCTCCTGCTTTGGCCTCCGAAAGTACTGAGATTATAGGCATGACCTACCCCGCGCCCAGCCTGAAAACCTTTTAAAGAATCCTTTCCACTGAATCTCCACTCTCACCCAACTGCCTTCTCTTAGATAGCCCCAAAGTAAGTGGTGGGGGTTGAAGGTCCAAGGACCATGTTCTAAGAAGCCCCGAATTAGATTGTGGGGGATCTTATCACCTCTTATTTTCCATTCTGAGGCTCTAGATGGAATTCCCAGACATAGACGAAGTTCTGTTCCATATCCAATTACAGCTGTTAACCCCATCCCTCACTCTAGCTGAGTATCAAGAATTTGAACATGTAGAATGTTCAGGAGATGCCTAGGAGATAACAAATGTCGTAAAACTCTGCTTTTCACACTGGAGGGCATAGATAGACAGTCACTAGAAGTCACAGCGTACCTATATTGAACATCAATATTTATGTTAAAACACACATGGATATGTTACGGAATAAAATGCAAAATTTTGACAGAAAAAAAAACCAGGATCTTTCACATCAATTATTGAGCTCACAGTGAGATATTTCACGTACAGACCCTAGGGGTGATGCACAGAGAAGTTTGAGAACTTTTTGAGGGACCTATTCTGTGGGATAGCTGGATTCTAGAAAAGGTTACCCTTCTAGAAGTCTTCAGGAAGCTGCTGAAGCAAGTGGAGAAATACTGGAGGGAAACGAGGTCACCCTGACTGTTCCACAAACCAGGAAAGAGAAGCTTCATAGGCCTCGCCTTTAAAAAAGGAGAGGGGAGGATCCAGCAGGGCTTGTGGTCACACTGAAGATAGCAGGTCTGGATCTCTAGATCAGGAGCCAGACACCAGGAGAGGTTTTGTTTGTATATGGGTTTTGTTTTATTTGTTCTTCTGAAGATTGCCTGAGCTATGTTGGCTATTTCTGTCTATCCTGTAGGCTGAGCTGCCAGTAGCTTCCAGTAAGAAAACTCTGGAAACAAAAGCACTGAGTGGAAATAAGGAGGAAGAAAGGGAAGCACAGTGAAAGCTGGCCTTCTCAGTCAACTGCAGGCCACAGCGGACTCAGTGGATGGAGAGATTTGAAGGAGAAAAGGGAATCGGGCAGAATCAAAAGTGGGTAGGATTGAGAGAAACATTAGGAGCCTAGCAGTTGGAAGACCCTGTGGTTCCCCAGCACAAAATAAAACAAAACAGCATCGAAACAGGGATTTATGACTTCTATTGAACAATGTGAGTACGCTGGTGGAGACTATCAAATCTCTAAATTTAAAATCTGGATTTCCCCAAGAACCCATTCATAGTTTTATGATGTCCCTGGTTCTCCTCCGAATGCTATTCAGAAATGTGGACCAAGTTGCATCTCCCATCTCGACATCGTGCTTACCTTTCTTAAGAATTTTCTTCACTTTCACATAGTTCCCTTGTTTGACATACTCATGAAGCTGAGCTTCCAAGGAGTCATTTCTTATGGTACCAAGCTGAACAGGACAGGGGACTGGAAGATGAACAGCCCGAGACATCTGTTTCAAAAGAGACCAACACGTTTATTCTAACCAAACCAGAAATGCAAGGAAGCAACTTGGATTCTTTCACATTTAGAAATCTGTCCACCCACCTTCATTAATAATGAAGAGGATTGGGGGAACAATTACTGAAACTGTATGAGATGCTATTGTTGAAACTGAAGACCTAAATATATTTATCACTGATTCCCAGGACTGAAAAAGTGATGACTACTAGGAAATAAAATCAGAAATATACACGTTTATTGTGTCATTAATTAGGAAAATATTGCCTTTGAAAGGTTAGAACACAAATGTAGTCATTATATAGGAGTGTAGATAGTATAATGTAGTAAAGGCGGGCATTGTGGCTCATGCCTTTAATCCCAGCACTTTGGGAGGCTGAGGGGGGAGGACTGCTTGAGCCCAGGAGTTCAAGCCCAGCCTAGACAACATAGTGAGATCCCACCTCCTAAAAAAAAAAAAAAAAAAAAAAAAAATATATATATATATATATATATAAAAGTATAAAATAAGATAGTATAATGTTATAAAGTAGTGGGTTAAGTTCACAGTTCAGACTCTAATGTTTTTGCCTTGGCTCTGTCACTGTAGATCTTGGAGAAATTATTCAGCATTGATGGAACTCAATTTCTTCATCTGTAAAATGGAGATAATAATAACCAGAGGGTTGCTGAGAGGTTTAAATGAGCTAATATGTGTAAAGTGCTTAGAACTCTGCCTGGCATCAAGCAAGGTCTCTGTAGTTGTTAGGTGTTACTAAGAATCACAAAGAGAGATTTTAACTTTCCACATGTGGCAGCCACACCTGACCATCATTCATACAATCAAGAGTTTGTGATATACCTACTGATATGGTTTGAATGTGCCCCCCAAAATTCATGTGTTGGAAACCTGATCCCCAATGTGGAGGTGTTGGGAGGAGGGAGGACCTTTAAGAGGTGTTTAGCACTGCCCTCTGAAGGGATTGATGTCTATCATTATCAAGGGAGCAGGTCATTATCAAAGGAGTGGGTTCCTTATGAAAGGATGAGTTTAGGCTTCCTTTTGCCTCTCTTGCCCTGTCCTTCCACCTTCTGCCATGGGATGATGCAGCAAGAAGGCCCTCACCAGATGCTGGCCCCTCCCTCTTGAATTTCCCAGCCTCCAGAACTGTGAGAAATAAATTTCTGTTTAGTATAAATAATCCAGTCTCAGGCATTTTGTTATAGCAGCGCAAAATGGACTAAGACATCTACCATGTGTCTCAAAGGTGGCAGGCATTAGATCACTGCTATCACAATACTTACAGTCTAGCCAGGCAGACAACTGGCACCAAGTTGGTGCTCCACAGACAGTGGGTAAAACAAGGAAGCCCCATCGACATGAATTGACAAGCACACACATTAAAGGCATGACTAAGGGCTCCATGGGGAAGCACAGAAGGTGTGAAATGAGGGTAAGCAAAGAAAAAGGCAAGAAGGTTGACACTTCAGTGGGTCTTCACCAGCCAGGGGGCTCAGGGATTATAAATTACTGAGAAATAACACCTTCTTAATTTATCCACTAAATGTGGAAAGTGCTGATAAATTGAGTGTATTAACTTTATTGCCTTTGATATCTGCTAATATGCATGCCATTGACTACAAACAGCATCCTTGTAATCCAACAGCATCACAACATTCTTAAGCAAACAAAAGTGATAGAAAATGTTTATGTTAAATATATATGAACTGAAGCTCTTATAGCAAGGTGTCATTTCCTCCCCGCCCTCCATCATTCCGCCTTCCTTCTATTTCCAGGTATAAAAAGAATGGCACATTTCCATTATTATTTGGATGGCTAGGACAGCGACACAAGATGGCAGCCACCACGGGCTCGGGAGTAAAAGTCCCTTGCAATTTCTGACTGTTAGAAGAAATCGAAGAAGGCCAGAAAGGAGTAGGAGATGGCATGCTTAGTTGGGGTCTAGAAGATGATGAAGACATGACACTTACAAGATGGACAGGGGTGTTAATTGGGCCTCCAAGAATAATTTATGAAAATCGAATATACAGCCTTTAAATAGAATGTGGACCTAAATACCCAGAAGCACCCCATTTGTAATAAAAATTAATATGAATGGAGTTAATAGTTCTAATGGAGTGGTGGATCCAAGAGCCATATCAGTGTTAGCAAGATGGCAAAATTCATATAGCATCACAGTTGTCCTGCAAGAGCTTCAGCACCTAGTGATGTCTAAAGAAAATATGAAACTCCCTCAGCCACCTAAAGGACAGTGTTACAGCAATTAATCAAAAAGAAAAACCACAGGCCCTTCCCCTTCCCCCCATTTGATTTAAGCAGTCTTCATTTTCCACAGTAGTAAATTTTCTAGATACATCTTGTAGACCTCAAAGTACTGGAAGGAAAGCTCCCATTCAACGGCAATTTACCTTGAGATATTGTAAATGATACTAATTTTTTGTCCATTTGAAATATATAAGTTGTGCTATAACAAATCATCCTGTCAGGTGTAACCACTGTCCACATAGTTGAACTTCTGGGATCAAGAAAGTACATTTAAGCAGCACAATTCACAATTGCAAAGCTGTGGAAACAACCCAAGTGTCCATCAACATGTGAGTGGATTAATAAAATGTGGTATATGTATACCATGGAGTACTTATTCAGCTTTAAGAAACAGTGGTGATATAGCACCTCTTGTATACTCCTGGATAGAGTTGGAACACATTCCACTAATTGAAGTATCCCAAGAATGGAAAAACAAGCACCACATGTACTCACCATCAAATTGGTATTAACTGATCAACACATAAGTGTACATATAAGAATAACATCTATTGGATGTCGAATAGGGGGGAGGAGGAGGAGGGGATGGGTATTTGCATACACAAAGAGTGCAATGTCCACCATCCAAGGGATGGGCACACTTGAAACTCGGACTTGGGGGGGGAGTGGGGAGGCAAGGGCAACATACATAACCTAAACATCTGTACCCCCATAATATGCTGAAATAAAAAAAAAGTATTTATTTTGTGCTCGTTCGGCAGCACATATACTAAAATTGGAATGATACAGAGAAGATTAGCATGGCCCCTGCGCAAGGATGACATGCAAATTAGTGAAGCGTATTTTTCTTCATTTTTTATAATTTTAAAAATAATAATAAAAAAAGGAAAAGTATATTTACATTGGTTCCCATCATAACTGGTGGGGCACATCTAACTCAACTGTGAAAAGATACATCACACAATCGCCTTGCTGCTGATTACATGGCCTGGAGTCTCTGCCTTCTCTCCTTTCCCTTCCCCTGCCTCCTTCCCTCCCTGCAACAGCCCTCCAACTTTGGGGGCTTGTTGAGATGTGAAGGTTTCAGGTCACAGCCTGTGGGACTACTGCTGGGTGTGTGGGGTGCTTTGCCTGCACCCCTGGTTTCCTTCTTTAAGTCTTAAATGATGCCCCCTTCCAAGCCATCATCCCCTCCCCACTCTCCACTCCCACCCTTGGCCAAAGCATAGATTGTAACCCCTCTGCTCCTCTCTGAGATTAGCCTTCAGTGAGGAATTCAGGGCTTTCCCCATATCTTCTCTCCCCCACCTTTACTGAGGGGTGCTGCTTTCTCCTCCCTCCTCCTCAAGTCCCTCTTTGCACTGTCATCACCCAACACTTTCCATGACACTCCTTGCTTTGGCCAGAAGCCATCAGGTAAGGTTGGACAGAGTCTCTGTCCTCCCTTGTTTAGTTTTGGAACCGCATTTATTCACTCCACCAGCCTGGGAAATGAATATGGGGTCCTCAGCCCTGCCACCCTCTGCTGTCATCATCAGCTGATGCGTTTTTTTAGCTCAGGTTTTGATAAGGTGAAAAGAACAGTCACCAGGGTTACTCAAGACCTCCCAGCTCTCAGAGTCCTTGGTGGTTAAACTTGTAGAAAGCCCACATGAAGACACTCGTAAGCCACACACAATTCCTCTGAATTGTTTTATTTTCCTGTAATTGCCTTTGCTTTTATTTTTATTTTTTATTTATTTTTTTGAGACAGAGTCTCACTGTTTTGCCTGGGCTAGAGTGCCGTGGCGTTAGCCTTGTAGAAAGCCCACATGAAGACACTCGTAAGCCACACACAATTCCTCTGAATTGTTTTATTCCTGTCTAAAAGCCTTTGCTTTTATTTTTATTCTTGCCAATAGAAAATAATAATAACAACAATAACAAAACAAAAAACAGAAAGGAAGGTGTTAATCCATACAAAAACAATTTAGGACAAGCTCTTAGAAATTTTCCTTTTAATTTTGACTTTACTTCACAGTTACTTTACCCAAATTTT